CAGAGTAGCTAGGACTACAGGTGTGCACCACTATACCCTGCTAATTGTTAAACTTTTTTTGTAGAGAAGGGGTCTTGCTACATTGCCCAAGCCAGGCTTGTACTCCAGAGTGCAAGTGATCCTTCTACTGCAGCCTCCCAAAGCACTGGGATTACAGGCCTGAGCCTCTTGTGCCTGGCAGGGAAAATAAATTTTGGTGTGTTCATACATTCAACCCTACATAGCAGTAGAAGTGAAAGAAAAACAAAAACAAAAACAAAAACAAAACAAAACTAGACCTACATGTATCAACATGAACAAATCTCAAATATAATAATGTTGAGGAAAAAAATCAAGTTAATGAAGAACATAGAGCATAATAAATCAGTGGGGTGCCAGAGCTGGCTCACATGTATTGGGGTTGTCTCTTCCTAACTTCTTCTTCACTGACACAATGTGGTCATTTGAATTTGGCCTTTGGCATTGGAATTAGCCTAACTCTGGCTTTGCAGCCATTCTTTACTAACTGCTTATGGTGGGAGTATGTAAGCATGGAAATTGGCAGATGCTTTAAATTAAGTTGTTTTTTTTTTTTCCCTAGAGAGCCTGTTGTTAAAACCAGGATATCACTGGATAACATTTTTTTAGATTATCTCATTTAATCCATGTATCAACACTATGAGATATTATCACCATTTCACAGATGAAGAAACAGGCTGAGTGTTGTAACTTGCCCAATCCACACAGGTAATAAGGACAGACCAGAGATTATTACCTCATAGTTAGAGTTTACATGTATATACCAAATGTACACATATTATATACCTGACTTTTTTTGGGTTTTGACCATACTTTCTGACTCTCACTATTACTCTGTTCCTATTATAGCTGATACATATGTATGTTTTAGCATTTGCCATGCTGAAGTGCAGTCATTCAATTATTAATACTCCCTATTCAATTATGAGCCTCCAAAGAGAATGGACCATACCTTATTCATCTCTATAGTTCCAGAACACAGGCTAGACATGGCACATCTACATAAATACCTTGTTAGTAGCCTAACTCTGGCTTTGCAGCCATTTTTTACTAACTGCTCATGGGTGATGAATATTACAGGACCATTATTGAACGATTAGCCATTTCTTTTGCTCCAAGATCTCCAAGATCCCCCATCACAAGGCAGTCTCAGCAGGAAGAATATTCAATACAATCAACCCCTGTTTGTTGAGCTGTTCCTCATACCTTGAACCCCAAAACTGTGATGTCTAGGGCTTTGTAAGTTTAAGAACTGCACTCACATCAGTCTGTCCCCAGCAGTTCACACACATTACAATAACTAAATGACAGGATAGCACCATATTCATAGAATATACAAGAATAAAGGAAAAATATGAGACAATGTAGATCAATAGCATAAGATAAAATCTTGCCAAAAGCTATCTTTTTATTATGATACAGCCATTGGGTCCAGAGGGGCAAGACCACACAATTCAGAAGCTTTCCCACACAAGAAACTAACAGAGTTGGTTACTGATGGCATTTGAGGCATAACATTTTTATAAATTTTATTTTATTTTATTATTATTATTTTTTGAGACGGAGTCTGGCTCTGTCGCCCAGGCTGGAGTGAGTGGCGCAATCTCGGCTCACTGCAAGCTCCGCCTCCCAGGTTCCCGCCTCAGCCTCCCCAGTAGCTGGGACTACACGTGCCGCCGCCACGCCAGGCTCATTTTGTGTATTTTTAGTAGAGACGGGGTTTCACCATGTTAGCCAGGATGGTCTCGATCTCCTGACCTCGTGATCCACCCGCCTCGGCCTCCCAAAGTGCTGGGATTACAGACGTGAGCCACCGCGCCCGGCCTCCCTATAAATTTTAAAATACTTAACACAATATACCATAGTATCTCATATATACAAGTATTTGGTATAATAAATACCACATTCAGGATAATGATTACTTCTTAAGAGGAAGGAAAGGAAGGTAATTAATGAGGGAAACAGAAGAGCTTCAGTTGAATTTGAAATGTATTTCTTAAGCTGAGGAGCGGTATGAATTAGCGATTGTATACTCTGTGCTTTTTGTTTTGCTAAAACGTTTAGTAGTAGCTCAATGAAATATGGCAGCCAGTTCTCCCACAGAGTATAGAGTTGCACGGGTGAGGTGGGAGGAGGCACCAGACACAGTCTCTATCCTTGTGCCATCCCACTAGCTCTGCAGTGAAGGGTAGCTCTATGGCTCCCAGATTTGGCCATGGAGGTGGTGGGGGAGCAGAGGAGTTTTTAGTATCTCTGGGGCCACACGCAGTTGCCACATTTGGTTCTGAGTTTCCGAAAAGAAAGAAGGAGTAAATACCCACACGATGGGGAGAGGAGAGAATCAGGGGAATCATTCAGGTGGTGAACACAACCATTTTAAGATGACCCTTCAGCTCCACCTGACCTCTCCAGGCTGCCTGGCAGGCAGGGGGTATATTTGGTTACAGACAACAGATAGAAGATATATTATACAGATGCCTATTTCTAGTCAACTTGAGTCATAATAGAATTCAAGTTCTCCTAGAAAGGGGCACAAGTAGGAAATGTTAAGGGCAAATATACAGCTAACTAACATTGGTCAAGAGATGCTAGGAGGCGAGACTTAACTCCTAAGGGAAAGATCCTTTAGCCCTGCTGCTGGAGTAGGTGCCATGTTTTCATTCCTAGGTAAGGTGGTCTAAAGTACTCTACTTTAGTTCCATTCCCGTGGTGCTTGAAAGCAAGTTAATTAGGCATTTATAGGCTGGTCTGGATTTTGTACCTCTCCCTGACCTCCCTCCTCCCCTTCACATTTGTGATACTTAACTGTACGCAAAGCACATCGTGCTGTTTCTACACATGCTGTTCTCTCTGCCCCACCACAATCCTTCTCTTTCTTTAAGTCCTTTCTCTTTCTTCAAGTCCTTTCCCTTTCTTTCCTGTGAGAAAACTTCCCCTCTACCTCTCCACATCAACAGAGGCATCTCTGTCTCCTCTGGGTCCCCTTCCTAGGACATACCTTTATCGTTTCTTTCTATGCACAGTATGGTAGTTGCTGCTTATATGTTCATCTCCCCTGCTGCAGTGCTGAGCTCCTTTGAGAAAAGAAGGCTGTGTTACTTTAACTTTGTATCTCCCAGGTCTACCACAGACCTGGCACAGACATTGAGTAGGTGCTTAGTAGAGGAGAGAAGAAAGAGAAGGGAAGAGAGAGCAGAAAAAATGACCTGACTCTTCACTTCTTTTCTTTAGACATCCTCTCCTTCACTCTATGTTTCCTTTTTTAAACTATCTGCTAACACTCATGCAGAGTTCAGTTGTAGGCAGAGAAGCAAGGCAGGAAGTATGGGGTATGCCAAAGATAAGGAAACTGACACTAGTGGGCACAAGAGGTCTAATTCCATTCTTTGGTGCAACTTCATTTTACATAGTGCTGTTTGTGGGAAATTAATGACCCTATATACAAAGACTGGAGGTGCACAGAAGGCAGAGGTGAGGGATGATAACAAAGGTCCTGGTACCTTTTCTTCCCCCTTAACTGTCAACCTCTTCTGCTCTGTTTTTTTTTTTTTTTTTTTTTTTTTTTGGTCTCCTGACCTGGTCTGGGGTCTCCTGATCCCAGCTATCAACAGCTAGCAATTTCATGTGTTATGCCATGAATTCTATTCTGAATACAGCCATAGTAGGTTTCACTAATTAATTAAATTGTACTTCATAGACTTGGAGTCAGGTCTCTTGAATACAAGATGCAAATTTATGCAACATATGCAAATCACTCATGTTCTCAAATTCCATGAACAAAATCTGGTAGCCTTGAGATAAAAAAGCCCCTGCCAAGCATCATCTCTCCTAATTATTGCTTAATTTCCTCCTCCCCCCACCCTTTAACACTGAACACTTTCAGGCTTGGCAGAAACTGGAAGAAAACACAATGAGAGCTGGTTAATAAACAGGAAGTTCCTCAGGGGCAAAGACCCTGCAATCTATTTATTTTATGCTCTCCAGTGGCTCCTAATATACTGCTGAGCACACAGTCTTGCATAGGGAACACCACCAGTCCTGACTATCAAATTATGGATATTTCAAGATGAACAAAAGTTGAGAGCCCTGAAGGCTTTGCAAAACATGCCATTTGGCGCGGTGGCTCACGCCTGTAATCCCTGCACTTTGGGAGGCCGAGGCGGGCGGATCACAAGGTCAGGAGATCGAGACCACGGTGAAACCCCGTCTCTACTAAAAATACAAAAAATTAGCCGGGCGCGGTGGCGGGTGCCTGTAGTCCCAGCTACTTGGGAGGCTGAGGCAGGAGAATGGCAGGAACCCGGGAGGCGGAGGTTGCAGTGAGCCGAGATCGCGCCACTGCATTCCAGCCAGGGGGACAGAGCGAGACTCCGTCTCAAAAAAAAAAAAAAAAAAAAAAAAAATGCCATTTAAGACTGGAAACAGGAAATTGATGACCTGTACTATATAATGCATGTAGCTATTAATTTATTTAAATTAAATAGCATTTAAAAATTTTGTTCTTGGCTGGGTGTGGTGGCTCATGCCTGTAATCCTAGCCCTTTGGGAGACCAAGGCAGGAGGATCCCTTGGGCCCAGGAGTTTGAGACCAGCCTGGGCAACATAGGGAAAACCTGTCTCTATTAAATAATTAAAAAAAAAAAAAAAAGTAAAAGGAAATAAAAATTTAAAATTTAGTTCTCAGTCAAACCACATTTCAAGTGTTTAGTAGCTAGATGTGGCTAGTGACTTTCATATTGGGCAGTAGAAGTATAGAACATTTCCATTATCATGAAAAGTTCTATCAGACGGCACTGATTTAGACACTTGGTATTCAAAGTCCAGTCCTTGGAGAGCATATTGGGCATGTATTGAGAGCATATTGGAAATGCAGAAACTCAGGTCCTACTCCAGATCCACTGAATCAGAATCTGCATTTTAACAAAATCCTCAATTCATTCACATGCACATAAATGTGAGAGAGGCATTGCTCTAGATCTAGAATAGAAAACAGTGGTTCTGTACTCACTTCAGCAGTATATATACTAAGAAGATTAGCATGGCCCCTGTGCAAAGATGACATGCAAATTCATGAAGGGTTTCATTAAGAAAACTTTAAAGAAAGTAGAAAGGAAACAGGGGTTCTCCCCAGAAATAAAGCCACACATCTACAGCCATCTGATCTTTGACAAAGTCAACACAAATAAGTAATGGGGAAAGGACTCCATATTCAATAAATGATGCTGGAATAGCTGACTAGCTATATGCAGAAGAATGAAACTGGAGCCCTACCTTTTGCCATATACAAAAATTAACTCAGGGTGGATTAAAGATTTAAAAGTAAGACCTCAAGCTATAACAATCCTAGAAGAAAACTTAGTAAACACCATTCTGGACATCGGCCTTGGGAAATAATTTATGATTAAGTCCTCAAAAGCAGTTGCAACACAAACAAAAATTGACAGGTGGGACCAATTAACTAAAGAGGTTTTGTACAGGAAAAGAAACTATCAACAGAGTAAACAGACCTACAGAATGGGAGAAAATATTCACAAACTGTGCACACAACAAAGCTCTAATATCCAGAATCTATAACAACCCCATTAAAAGTGGACAAAAGTCATGAACAGACACTTCTCAAAAAAACACATACAAGCAGCCAACAAATATATAAAAAATGCTTGATATCATTAATTATCAGATGAATGCAAATCAAAACCACAATGAGATACCATCTCACATCTATCAGAATAGCTATTACTAAAAAGTAAAAAAACAACAGATGATGGTGAGGCTGCAGAGAAAAGGGAATGTTTATACATTGTTGGTGGGAATGTAAATTAGCCACTGTAGAAAGCAGTTTGGAGAGAGTTCTCAAAGAACTAAGAGCAAAACTACCATTTTACCCAGCAATCCTATCACTGGATATACATCCAAAAGAAGGATAGGGCGTCATGGCTCACATCCATAATCCCCAAACTTCGAGAGGCTGAGATGGGAGGATCAGTTGATTCCAGGAGTTTGAGACCAGCCTGGGCAATGTAGTGAGACCCCATCTCTTAAAAAAAAATAGCCAGGCATGGTGGGCATGCCTGTAGTCCCATCTACTTGGGAGGCAGAAGTGGAGGATTGCTTGAGCCTGGGAGGTTGAGGTTGCAGTGAGCCATGATCACACCTTTGCATCCCAGCCTAGAAAACAGAATGAGACCTTGTCTCAAGAAAACAAATACAAAAACAAAAACAAACAGAAAATAAATCATTCTACCAAAAAACACATGCACTCATCACAGCGCTGTTCACCATAGCAAAGACATGGAATCAACCTGGGTGCCCATCAATAGTGGATTGAATAAAGAAAAGGTACATATACATCATAAAATACTACACAGTCATAAACAACAAAATCATGTCCTTTGCAGCAACATGGACGCAGCTGGAGGTCATTATTCTAAGCAAATTAACCCAGGAACAGAAAACCAAATACCACATGTTCTCACTTATAAGTGAAAGCTAAACATTAGGCACTCATGGACATAAAAGTGGCAACAACAGACACTGGGGACTACTAGAGCGGGGAGGGAGAGCGGGGGAAGGATTGGAAAATCCTTTGCTCACTACCTGGGTGATGGGGTCATTTGTACCCCAAACCTCAGCATCATGCAATATACCCATGAAACACACCTGCCCATGTACCCCCTGAATCTGAAATAAAAGTTGAAATTACAAGAAAGAAAAAAGAAAGAAAGAAAGAAAGAAAAGAAAGAAAGAAAGAAAGAAAGAAAGAAAGAAAGAAAGAAAGAAAGAAAGAAAGAAAGAAAGAAAGAAAGAAAAAGAAAGAAAGAGAAAGAAAGAAAGAAAGAGAAGAAAAGAAAGGAGGGAGGGAGGGAAGGAAGGAAGGAAGGAAGGAAGGAAGGAAGGAAGGAAGGAAGGAAAAACTCAGCCAAAAAGCTTTATCTTTTTGCCATGATGTTTGTTATTACACAATCAGAGTAAGAGAATATGGCAGAATTACAGTTTTTTTCCCCACATAAAAAGAAACATACCGAGTTTAAACATCAGTTGCATTTATATGGTATTACTTGGGAAATTGAGTTATTTATACAACATTTCAGAATAGTTCAGCTCACGCCAGTTGAGTTTAGAGTTAACTCTCACGCCAAAGCCCGCCTCTCATCTTACAAGTCACTGCTCTCACAGAAAGATAGAACGATAAATGTTTCAATGAAACAGCTTTGCATTTGGTGGATAGAAGCATCAAACAGAATATCTATCTCTGATCAAGATCACTCGCCTCTATCTTAAAGAAAGATGGAATAGGTGAGATTGCCAGAACACAAATGCCTTCCTGGGAGAACTGTGGGGCAATATTGCAAGAGATGGTAGGCACTTATAATATATATAACAGGTGGTATAGCAACCACTGATATTGATCACTTCAAAGAAACAAAAGAAATGGAAATCAATGATGCGCCAAAGATCATTAATCATTGAGTTAAATGAAATGAATAGTTATGCATGAACGAGCTAATGTATAACGCCAAAAAGATAGTTGCTGCGGCAATTTGAGAGAGCTTCTCACAAAGAAGAATGCAATTTCCAGAGAGCCATATAATAGTAAGGCGCCGTACACGCAGTGGTTTGATCTAAAGACCAGCGCCAGGTAAAGGTCATACCCAGAATGCGTTAAAAAATACAGTTTGTACTTAATGCCATATGGTATTATTTCCGGAGTTAAAGAAGAAATATATAATGCTCAGCGTGGATGAATCAAACCATCTGCAGAAAGAAGGTCCAGTTTCAAAGCATACTTCTTCCAGCCCACCAACCGGAAGGCTTCCCAGGGCGGAATATCGCGCCAGGAACAATATGAGAAAGATATATTTAATAAGAGATGTTGTGAATTAACAATGTTCCGATTTATGAACTGTTTTAAAAAGCAAATTAGAAATGTTGCAAGAAGTTGAACCGCCAATAAATAAGAAAATAAGATAGAATTCTGTTCCATTAGGTAGAAGAACCACTTGAGCCATGAGGCAGTGGCTTACTCCAGGTGAACAAAAATTGAAATATTTCTCTAAATGAAGCAAAGTTAATAAACAGAAGAATTGATCAGCCCTCCAACTTCCTCCTCCTCTTATTTGAGAAGATCAGCAGCACACACCAGCTACTTTGAAGGCCCTTCTCAACAGAGAACCCTTGTTCTTCACAAACTTTTCCTTTTCTCTCTTCCAGAGAAACCTTCTCCTCACACTTCACAAAAGAAACTAAATATAGGGAAGAACATCCTTCACCTTCTCTGTGGGGAACCTTCCTTCTTCAAAGAATCTTTTCACGTTTCCTTTTCAAGAGGGGAAAACAGGTTATGGCCAGAACACTTGCTCTCCTTCCTGTTTGCAAAAACAGAGGCTCCAAATAAAGGTCAGCACTTAACTCCCTCGACTCCCATGAAACATATATAAGAGAATCAAACACTTAAACATATAAAAATGTGAGATGAGAAAGAGAAAAAGAGAGATGTGTTTAAACCATAATTCCTCTCTTCATGGAAGAGATCCTCTCTCTCTCAGGCCCGCAAACCATCTGATAACAGAGTTTGTCAAAGGGAACAGGTAGAATAAAGAAAGATAGGCAAACGAATTAAAAACATGTGAAAAACAACTATCTTTGGGTGGAGAAATCTCACTAGAATAGAATAGTGAAACATAACCAGTGAAAGATTTAGTAAAAAGAAAGGGCAGAGGTGATATAGACAGCAAAAAATCAGGCTTTTTTTCCTTAATCAAAACAACTTTTCTTCTACTTAGCAAAAAAAAAAAAGAATTTATCAGAACTAGGTCTGATCCGGTCATTATATTAGGTAGGCTGCATGTACAAATGAACTGACTGAATACAGCTACAAGGTTTAATCTATCTAAATTGGAAATTGTGGACTGATTTAAATTCTAATGTAGATGCAAATGCCTGCAGAGAAAGAAATTCATCATACTGAAACTGAAGTTAAAAATCTGAGAGGTTTGAGAAGTTTGCACAATGATCTCCAATTATTGTTAGTTCTCTCTCACCAAACCCCCTAACATCAAATGCCTTCTGGAATGGGGTAAACTGAAAGAAACAACAGATTTAATATAAGAGAAGCCCTTGAAAGGTGACCCAATCATATTTTTATGCTCAGGTATATTTCAAGACTTAAAAAGAATGCCTGTGTGGTGGAAGATAAATTCACGATTTAATTGAATATCAGCATTTCGACAAAGCGAATTGAAATGCATGAGCGTTATTGAAAATGGTAATGTCGCCAATCTTTCAAATGTAGAATAGAAGTGTTGATTCATATAAGAAGATCTGAGAATAAACCACATAGGGGCAAAGAGGTAAATGAATGGAAAGCGTGGGAAAATAGAATGCCCACAGTTACAACAATGATGATAACCGCAGAACGAGCGCCAGCAAGGAATGAATCGCACGATAATTTTTCACCAGGTTGTAGGGAGAGACAGAATCACCACGTGCAAAAAAGCAAATATTGAATTAAAACAGGAACGAGCACCAAATAGAGATGGTATAAGAAAGAATTAATAAACAGTATATATCAGCAACTGGACAGTTATGGAACAAGTTAAACTGGCTTTATAGATCATGGAGATGGATCTCAGGTCGAGAATTAATGAGCTCGAAAACAGCAAACACCAGCTGTGAAGAAAGTGTTGGGCATAGCATAAAAATAACAATTAAAACATGTTCATTGCAAAATGTTTGAAATGAGTGGTAAAGGTAATTATATTGGTGCAGAGAAGTAGAAGCATCTTCACATGATTATAAAAACAATCATATGAACATTTGAGAGAATGAAACAAAACATAACTGAAGAATATTAAATATGAAATGAAAAATAGCGGTAAATTAAACGAATTGAACGATTAATTAATTGTAATTTCGCTAAGTACAAAACTGAACATCCAAAAATAGTAGCATGTTTAACTGTATAAAAACATCAAAATTCAACTCGCGGTGGATACAGATTAGAAAATAATTATGTTAAATATATTGAGAGTTAAACCATAAACACAAATATAAACCGAGCGGTAAGAAAGCAAAACAGGAACTCTCCATA